TAAATCAAGTCTTGGTTTTAATTTGAACAATTCTCTTAGGATACGATGCACAGTATTCAGAACGTTCTGCTTTCTTGATGCCTGAAATAGTGACACTTCAGGAAACCAGGCGACAGAGACACCTGTTTCTTACCAAATTACATCTCCTAATGATTATAACAATTTTATGCACTAGATTAACTTTAAAATGTAAATATTGCAATATTTTAAAGTTTAAATTATTAGATAGAAATTTATTTAAAAAGTAGCAGTGGAAAATGTGAACCAAAATATAGCGTATCCTTATCTATTTTAGCCCAAATAGTCCTGCTAATAAAGCATTTTTCAAGTAACTACATTAAAAATGCTTTTCATAACATATGTTGATTTTTGTCCTATTGTGAATATAATATTCAATTATCAAAATTTGGAAAATAAACCATAGATAAAAATTTTAAACTCAGTAACAACTGTCAATATTTTGATATATTTCCTTCGAGTTGCCTACCCATCTGGTCAGCTATCTATCTATCTTTACCTTCATCTATACAAAATTAGGATATGCTAAACATATTTCATAACTTGCTATTTTATTAGTATCAAAACCCATGAGACATTAAAGTACATCGGAAATGAAAAGAAGCAAAGGACTTTTAAACGTTCTCTTCTGAAAGAGTGAAGTCCATGCCAGGTTGAGTCACGGAGAGAAATGTCAGCGCGGTGGGCAGCAGCTGCTCGCTTCCCTGGGAAGGAAGTGCCGGTAGGAGAACCGCGGCGGGCAAACCCCTCAGCGCTGCGAGTCACTAGTGGGAAAAGAACAAAGGCCTTTCCAGCGCGACTAACACAGATGTACCCAAAGGCAAACTGTCAGAACCGGTTAGGATGACAGCTACTCACAGTTCATTATTTCCTTCTCACAGGTCACTGTGTGACAAGCTGGGTCAGTGTGCTTTGTCGGCCTCCCAGTCCTTCCCCACCCCCATTCAATCTAAATAAGGGTGAGGGCTCCGTCGGACAGACGAACGTAAACAAACATTCCAGACACTTAAAGGTGCCCGAATATGGCATTTATTTTATTTTGGACTAAATTTAGAATTAAATGTACACACAACTTACTTTATCCATGCAAGAAGAGAACCACATTTCTATATCACTGATAGAGGAAGCAAGACCACTTTAAGTGTGGCTAAAGCAAACAGAAAGATATAACCCATCATGAACTAAGAATCTGGCATTAAAGACCTTACACAGTAAGAGATTTTCCTTTTTCTTCAGTGGGAAAAAGCATTTTTCCACATTACCAAAAAAAAAAAAGGATCAACAATCAGATTGCTTTCCACAAGTCTTTGAGTTCGAAATTAAATGACATGATTCTGTAGATAGGAGAGCCCAGTTTGTGGTGACTGTTGCAGTTTTTTTTTAACGATATAATTTTTAAGGATAAAATAATACACCAATCAAAATGGCAGCAGTCTAATCAAAGCTTTTATGAAGTAATACACACAAGATTTTAGTAATGACTTCATACGGCTGCTCAATACGATGACATTCTGTTACGAAATCAGTAGAATAAAAACAACCAGGCATGAGGAATAAAGCAGAGAGTAAGAGCACAATCACAGACCAAATAGATGTAGGTTCGAACCCCATGTCCCCCGTCAACCAGCTGTGTGATTGGACAACAACACCACCTCTCTGAGCCCCGTCGCTGTATCTTTGTGGATTATCAGAGTACCTCACCATCAGGTTATTATGACAATAAGTAAACTAATCTATCGCGTGGTTACAGGATAAGTAAGTACTCAGAGGAGCAGTTGGCACATAGTAAGTATTCTAAAAAACGACAGCTATTAGCTACCTGTCACAAATGTAGGACATACAGAGCTGAGCTGAACCGCCATCCGAGGTGTGAAACACACTGGTTAATCATGACAAAGGGGTTTTTAAAAATCTCTAATCCATTCAAGTGCAAGCGTCTGTAAATCAGTAAATCGAGACTGTTGGATTCAACAAGAAATCAGGGATTTGTAGTCTCCCTTAACATTTTCCACCTCTTATTTAGTCTTCGCTGAAGCCTGTGAATATTAATATTCCTTTATTATTCCCTTTCTAAACTGCTCCACCTTATTTAAAGTCACCCTTCCGAGATATCCACTCAAAATAAGGCCCCATTGGAAAGGCTGAAGATTTGGAGAGCACGAAGACAAGAAGTCAAGTGGTCGGCAGAGCAGCACAGAGGCTGAGAGGAAGACTTCGGGCTCACACAGCCCTGCCTTAAATTACTAGCGGGAAGGCCTTAGTCCAGTAACTTAATCTCTCTGCGCCTCACCTTCCTCATCAGTAAAACAGAGATGAACACCTCAGTGGTACCCACCTCATAGGTTCCCGGGAAACAACGCACATACAGCACTTACGCAAAGCCAGCACATGTTATGAACAACCGAATGAGACCTTTCATTTTCACATGTTACCTGCCGCTAACTACCAGTCTGTCTGTCCCCAGATTCGGCTACTTGTTTCTTCTCTCCTTCCTTGGCTACTTCTAAGAAAGTACACACATTATATCTCTGTGTCTTCTTATTCTTTTCAACTATACATTCTTTCTTCAGATTATTTGCTCATTCTTGATTCCCTGATGTTCTGTAAGTCTATTTCTTTTTCTAGTTTTCACAACTGAAATCATTTCACGTTATTCTTTATTTTGTAAAATTATCACTGATAAAACCAAGTGAAGTAAAGCCGTCTCTGAGGCTGGGGTAACAGAACGCCCTGACTCTCCTATATTTGGAAAGCACATAACCTCACAAAGCAACCCGGGGTTCAAATAATCGACATGCCAAATTCAGCACCATGTTCTAATTTTGCCCCACAATTCCTTCCAAAATGGGAGGAAAGTAATTGTCTCAGTACTTACTCTTTACTCAAAATAACTTTGTTAAGGAACCGAAAGAGAAGGAGAGAAACTGAAATTACATCTATTGTGTAAATTGTGGGGGTGGAGGGAGAATGCAGATAAATCCCTGTGGCTTTAAGAGAAAACAAAGAAGGCGGCCAGAAGAGTTGCTGAAGCCCAAGACACAGCCCCAGGGAATGTGGCTAAGAAAGGCCCCTGGGAAATTTCTATGAAGTTAAAATCCTGAATATATTTGCCAGTCAATTCCTATTGACTAAAAACCACAAATCTAAATACACCCCCCCATTAAAAACTTTTTCCTATCTCTACTTGTTTTCAGAACATTTTCACAGCTACTACTTATTGAGTGTTTACTACATTCCTGGAAATTTAAAGACATCTCATTTAGTTCCAACACTCACATAGGTATTGTGTTACGTTAAGTGACATTAAGCGCTTTGTTGTTGTTTTTTCTGGGTTTTGCCTCATATTCCCTAACACGATATGCCTTCCTCCCAATGTTCCATCATGACTGTCTTGCCTTGTGAGGGAGACAGAAGACAAATTTCTGAAGTACGACGCCCTCAACCCTCAGAGCAAATACTCCCAGGCTGGGGAAGGAGGGAGGGAGTCACAGGTGAATTATCACTGGGGTCCCTGCACAGTGACCCACCAGCATCAAACGTGGGACCTCCACACAGAGCTCAGAAACCTGAGAGCAGGAGGAGCCCTTGCCTCACTGAGCAGAGCTCAGCATAACGACGGGCCCCCAGCATGCTCTCAAAAATAGAAATGGCTACAAGATAGGCAATGTTGGGCACGAAAACAGTATGTGACCGCCCCAGCGCCCCGGTGTTCCCTGAGCTCTCGCTCTACACGAAAACTTTAAAATCTGCCCCAAGGACTTATATTCTAGTGACCTGGGGGGAGAGTCGCCTGGCTGGAGGCTGCAGCCTGCTGGGTGTGTGGTGGAGCATCAGAGAGCCGAGACCCTCACGTATGGCTAAAAGCAGGCGCAGGGCACCCCGTACAGTAAGGTACTCAATTTCTTATCTCGTCTCTCTGTGCCCTCTCTTCCTCAAAACAACAAAATCAAAGGATTTAGGGTTTACACAATACATTAAAGAAATAATAAATTGAAGAGTCACTTTGGTTATCAGGAAAAAAATGTTCCCCTCCTGTCAAAATCTGAGGCAAGAACATGTAATGTAAAAATATAAAATAGCTTTTAATTGAAATAAAAAATTACGTTGCACACCTTAAACTTGCACAATGTTATACGTCAACTATATCTCAATAAAGCTGGAAAAAAATTTTTTAAATAAATTAAAAGTTGCCATTTTTTCTTTTTTCATGCACTTGGAATTTCTATCTACAGTTAGAATATTTAAACTTAGGAATTCTCCTGAACTTTGGTGAGTATGGTAAGAACCATATTACTCCTTTAAGAGTGCTTCAGTCAAACTTACTTTCAAACAATTATGTATTAAAATTGCAGTTTATAAAGTCATTTTTTGATTTACAACACCAAACCCAACAAAATAAGGATAATAAACTTTATAATAAACTTTAGTTTTCCAATTTACAAAGAGGATCAGAGAAGCAGTTTCCATTTCCAACCAAGGATGACCTTCAATAGGTTAGTAAAATCGCGGGTGTTAGTTTTAGTCTAGGAATGGAAGGTATGTCAGTGTGCTAAATTATCGCTACTTAAGACCGTCTATTGTGCACTTATCCCTGAGTCTACATAATACAATATTCTGCTCATGGAACATACACAGGATTGTCCGTGCCAGGGGCCTCCTGAAAGACTTCTTGGTATTCTCACAGTTGGATTTATGCTCAGGACTGCCTGGCCTCAGTTATGCTGTTTCAGAGAATTTTAGTGAGATCCCAGCACAGCAGCCGTTCCTAAGTATACTTATAAATAATACCATACATCAATCTTTAACAATATACACATAAATGTCACCTCTCTTCATCAAATGTGACCCGAAAACTACTGTGCTTGAAAGCCAAAGGGCTTTTGAGATATTTCAATAATCTCCCAGAAATCAATCTTACATGAAACTGAAGGGAAACATCGAATGTCATTGAGCAATCAAGCTCCGTTCCGTCAGTGTCCTACCTCTGAGCGGACGCCTGAGGATGCTTCCCCTCCAGCTTCCTCATCACTGCCACTGTCAGCCGCCCTGTCTCCCCAGGAGAACCTTCTGGCATTAAACCAGTGTCTGCAGGCTCTGGCGGTTGCTTCAGACCAGGGACGCCAGCACTTTTTTGCAGAACCTAATAAATGAAATGTAGGAATAATGTAGCTAATTTTCATTGAGTGAAAATATCTAAACTATAACATGCCGAAAATTTAAGAATACACTTTTCATAGTTCCTTAGTTTTCTTCATCCAGCACAGAAATCATTTGTCCGTGCCCAGAACAAAAGAAGGCAGCCTTAAGAAAAGACAGCATGTCACCATCCATTGAATAAAATAATGTTTATATAGAGATGTTTACATAAATATAAATGTGCATATGGATATTTATGTTATGTGCATGATGTTAAACAATGAGTAACGTTAAGATGTGAATTCCTGCTTGCCTCCTAAAAACAACTTGAACATTTTTCTCTTTTCAAAATGCGTGTGGAGATCTATTTCTGTCTTGCCTCTGGCTCGCCTCACTGACCTCTTCTGCTAAGCTGCTGCCATGTTCCTGATGAGCTGTGGTCCGGGCGCCATGGTGAATGTGAGACTCCATCTGGGTCACATCCACTTGTGCATTTAGCTCCTCTAGGTAGGTCAGAGCAAACTGAGGATAAGCCTGTAGGAAAGGGGAAAAAAAAGTAGCACCAGCCTTGTTATCAACAGCCAAAACTCTATACAACTGGAATGATGGGAGGATAAACTAGATTAATAGTAAAAAGGTCTGGCTAATAAACTTTGCACTTTATTACCAATTTCAGATCAAAATGTAGCCAAGTAACTTTAATATTAAGATTTCTAATTAGTTGTTTAATCTGATCAAGTTTTACTAGATGGCTAATCTTCCCGCTTAGAGAGATAAGATTAAAATATTAAAGCATCTTATATATTAATAATAATAGCTAACATTTATTTAGTTATTGCTACATAAAATGTATTATTGTAAACACATTACATACATGTAATGTGCAGCTGCTGTACTGTTTGGAAATATTCAGTTCTGTTCTAGAAGACAAGACAACACATGGAATGGACGAAACCCTTAGCTGCATGAAGCATGGACCAGTTAGTAACCTGAGAAACATCAGTCAGAAAGTAAGTGGAGCATTTGACTATGAACATAGATAGAAAGGGGTAGGAGGACAAAGCAGACACTTCACAGTCATGATTTACTAAAAACAAACAAAGCAACAAATATAAATAATTTATACACTGACAGTAATGCAGCACATGAGTCACGCCGCAATCATGAGATCTTTAAGTGGCTACCCATTGCTGATCTCACGGTGGATCCTCTGCTGGATAAAATCCACGGCTGCCAGTCGGGCTGGCTGGGGAGCACAGCTACTGGCCAGGTGCTCTCCCAACCAGCTCTCTCCTGGCGCAGGTGTGTGTCGTTGCTGCGGGCACCTTTTGTCTGAGGGCCCCCTCGCTCACATTTCAACTCTGGTCCTTGCAACCACATCACTGGCAGGAAACAATGATGCCACACAGAAATGTGTCGATACTGCAGAGATTCAGGTAACGTGGCCCTGCAACCCACTTGCACCTTCAGTGTGTTTACCTAGCCCTTCTCTCTTCCCCTACATTTTGCTTTGTGTTTTAAATTGGTTTAATAAGTCGTGATCTGAGCATTTTCATTTGTTCTGTGTACCTTGCTGTTCCACGAGCTCTGGGACACACCGTCTACGAGCATACCAGAGCCTACCATCGCATCAAAGCAATTTCCCACATGATTACATATTGACATTTTAATCCTCGCAACAGCCCTTTGAAACAGGTACTCTTATTGCGTCCATTTTAAAGACGAGGAAACAGACACAGGGAGGTCAAGCAACTTGCTCAGTGTCGTCCAGCTTGTTTACTGGTCCATAAAGCCTAGACATGCAGCCTCGAGTATGGTATAATCCTTTTTTTAAGTGTGGAACTAAAGTTCTAACAAACAATATGAGGTGTTTAGTGGATAATCAAAGGGCACCAAAGTCCTTATATTGTCCTGGAAAAAGAGACACTGAATAGCTTTCAACTTTGCTAGAAAATGTATAACTAAATATGCACATTAAAAATGTAAGGGACTCTAGACACTTAAACACATATTACTAAGTGAAAGACGTCAACTTGAAAAGGCCACATGTTGCACATGATTCCAACTATATGACCTTCTGGAAAAGGCAAAACTGGACACAGTAAAAAAGATCAGGGGTGGCCAGGGCTTAGGAGGGAGGGAAGGATGAAGAGACACAGCACAGAGGGTGTTTAGGGCAGCAGACTATTCTGTTTGATACCATAATGGTGGATGCGTGTCACTGTACATTTGCCCAAACTCAAAGAATGTGTGAGAGAGAGAGTGAACCCTAATGTGAACTACGGACTTTGGGTGATAAGGTGTCAATGTAGATTCATCAGTTGTAACAAAGGCACTACTCTAGGGTGGGATGTTGATAGTGGGGGAGGTGGGTAGGGGGCACAAGGGTATACGGGAACTCTGTGTACTTTTTGCTTATTTTTCCTGTGAAGTTAAAACTGCTCTGAAAAATACGGTCTTTTAAAAAAAAAATGAAAGGCACTCCACCAAAAGTACAAGTGAAAAAATAAAAATAGATAAATTGTGCCATATCAAAATTTAAAACTTTTATGCCACAAATAATGTCATCAAGAATATGAAAAGATAACCCATGGAATGGGAGAAAATATTTGTAAATTATATGTCTGGTAAGGGATGTGTATCCTGAATATATAAAGAACTCTTGCAACTCAATAATAAAAAAACAAATAATCTAATTAAAAAATGAGCAAAGGATCTGAGTAGAAGATATTTCTCCAAAGAAGGTATACAAATGGCAAACAAACAAATGAAAAAATGTTCAACGTCGCTAGTCATTAGGGAGATACAAATAAAAATCTCAGTGACATATCACTTCACACCCACTAGGATGGCTGCAATCAAAAAGACAGAGAGGGGCTGGCTCCATGGCCGAGTGGTTAAGTTCCCACGCTCCGCTGCGGCGGCCCAGGGTTCGGATTCCGGGCGTGGACATGGCACTGCTCGTCAGGCCACATTGAGGCGGCGTCCCACATCCCACAACTAGAAGGACCTGCAACTAAGATATACAATTGTGTACGGGGGGGTTTGGGGAGATAAAGCAGGAAAAAAAAAAGATTGGCAACAGTTGTTAGCCCAGGTGCCAATCTTCAAAAAAAAAAAAAAAATAGAAAATAACAAGAGTGGATGAGGATGTGGAGTCGTCAGAACCCTCATATGTTGATGGTAAGAATATGAAATGGTGTGGCCACATTGGAAAACAGTTTGGCCAGTCCTCAGCATTATACACATGGAGTTATCATATGATCCAGGAATTCCATGCCTAGTTACAGACCAATGAGAAATGAAAGCATGTGTCCACAAACTTCTATACACATGTTCATAGCAGTATCATTCACAGTAGCCAAGAGAGTGGAAACAAACAAACGTCCATCAACTGATAAGTAGATAAATAAAATGTGATATTTCCATACAATGGAATATTATTTGGCAATAAAAAGAAACAAATTACTAATGCATGCTACAGTGTGGATGAACTTGGACAACATTATGCTAAGTGGAAGAAATCAGTGACAAAAGACTACATATTGCATACTTCCAGTTATAGGAAATGTCCATCATAGGCAAATCCATAGAGACAAATAGGGCTTGGGGGGGCGGGCAGAGAAAATGGTGGGAATGGGTGTGAGGTGCGAGGTATCTTTCGGGGAGATCAAAAATGTTCTAAAATTACATTGTGGTGATGGATGCACAACCCTGTGAATATCCTGAAAAATACTGAATGGTACACTTCAAATGGGAGAACTGTGTGGTATGTGAATTCTATTTCAATAAAGCTATTTTTAAAAATGTAAGAGATTCAATTAAAAAAATAAAAGTACAAAGTATAGCTTTTTTTGATTTTTTATTTTTTGAGAAAAGATTAGCCCTGAGCTAACAACCATGGCCAATCCTTGGCTTTTTGCTGAGGAAGCCTGGCCCTGAGCTAACATCTGTGCTCATCTTCCTCTACTTTATATGCAGGACACCTGCCACAGCATGGCTCCATAAGTGGTGCGTAGGTCCACACCAGGGATCCAAACCAGCGAACCTGGGCTGCCAAAGTGGAACGTGTGAACTAACAGCTGTGCCACCGGGCCGGCCCCAACATAGCCTTTGAACCAGCAGAGGAAAAAAAAGAGGAAGGGGAGTCAGAAAAAGTCAGGAAGAAACATAAAAGATACAAATTGAAAACATGGTAAATAGAAATTTTTGTTGAGTTAATCAAATGAATGACTATCAAAATTTTAAACATGCTTTCCCTTTGACTTAACAAGCATCCACAGACAGACAAAGATACTCATTGCAGCAGGGCTCCCAACTGTCTGACTGTGCATCCTCGGGGAAGTTTGAAAAGCTAGAGCACATATGGATGTCAATACGGAGGGACGGCCACAACACGTTATTGAGAGGAAAAAGGTAGGTCACAAAGTTATATATATATAACTTATGTCTACACATATCCATATACACATATATAATTAGACTTGGTATATATTATCATACGTAATCTATATAATTAATCAGAAATCATCTACTATAAGTGACAATCTTTGAGGAATAAGTTTGAGAGAGACTTTTGCTTATCAGTTCTGAATTATTGGAGGGTTTTTTCACAACTAATATATACTACTTTTATTATTTAAATGGAAATCTTACTGTACAGCAAACATATGCATAATTCCTGAGAATATATACAAAACCTGCTGTTAATAACTACGGGAAATTGAATTAAAGTTTGAGAAGAAGAGACTTTACTTCTCATTAGCATATTTATTAAAATATTAATTTTTATCATGTGCAAATATAACTTTCATAAAAAATAAATATTTTTTAAAGACCCAATTAAAAATAGTGTCTTTACTGTATGTACCATTCAGGTAATCTTGGGAAGAGATTTTTGAATCACTAAGCTAACCCAAAACATACACAAAAAAAAAGTTTAATCTAAAAAAAATTAGGATTTTCATTTTACCTTGAAGCTTATGTCACATCTATAGCATTATGTTATTTTTTCTTATGTCAGTTCTTTTGTCTTAAATATGTTCAAGACCACTCAGCTGAAGTGAATATGATGGGCAATAGGGAAATACATTATTTTACATTGGTTCCAAAGCAAAACATCAAAGCCAAAATTCAGCAACAAAGATCACTATATTTTCAATATGAGAGGAAACATGAGAAATGAGATATTAAATTTGTTCTAAAATATCCCAGCATTAGAAGAATCAATTTATAAAACGTAAAATAACAGTAGACAGTAAATGCAAACTGGCTGGTTCTGATTCTGGTCATCATGACCCCCTCATATTCTGATGCTAGCTTCATGTTTCAAATCCTCTAATAGAGGTAAAGACCTTGTTTTTTTATACTTTTTGGTGAGGAAGATTGGCCCTGAGCTAACAGCTGTTGCCAGTGTTCCCCATTTTTTTCTCCCCAAAGCCCCAGCACATAGTTGTATATCCTAGTCGTTCATCATTCTACTTCTTCTATGTGGGATGTCACCACAGCATGGCTTGATGAGCAGTGCATAGGTC